AACATAAACAAAAACCAGCCCGCGCATCACCACACATCCCGTCTTTCCAGAGAGTGAGCCACCAACTGGCACCAGATTGCCAGAGTTTCCGTCATCCTGTGACAGCTGAACAGAAAAGACAAGGTTGACAACCCCATCCTTTCCAAAAGACCAGTCCATCCTGTTGTCACTTGAAGTTATGTCTCTAATTCTAATCATGGCAGCAGTGACATGAACCGAACTGGAAGATGCTGCACCAGAATTTAACCTACGCATTGCCTCTTTACCAGGGAACTCCGAAGCAAATGCAGGTGGAGCAGGTATGCTGCCCAACATCATGTGACTTGCCTTTTTGATGAAGGGGTAGTTACCATCTGCACCACGAAAATCGCACACAAACCAGAAGGTGAGATAAAGACAGCCATTGACAGCAACAGAAAGTTACTAATCTAAAGGATAAGTTACTAATTGGGGTATGATAGCACCTTTGATAGCTGAAATAAGATACTATACCTGACTCAAACTTGAACTCCGCCGTTTTCTTTGACGAAGATGCAGATGCATCATCAGTATCCACTGGTTGTACAAGATGTTCGCCTCCCAATGGCTGTGGCTCTGGTTGTACATGTTCACCTCCCATTGGTTGTGGCTCGGTCTCACCATTCACAAGCTGCTATACAACAGTTTATCAAATGAAAGATGCTACTTAAACTCCAGAAATACAAAAGGAAAATGAAACTTGAGAAGCTTGTACCTTCTGGTCAGCTGGAGCTTCGTCAGGAACATAGTTTTCAACCCCCATCATTCCACATGAATCGAAATCAATATACTGAGAGATGTCATCATTGGCATCAAAGTATGTAAGGTACTCATCAAGCATGTCAAAACCTGCAGTTGACTCGACTGGATTTGAAAGATCATTAGCTTCAAGGAATAACCCATCACCAATTGGCGTATTCTCCGTAGCATTCAAATACGGTTCATTAAGTGAGTAATTGACAACAGCTGGATTTGCATCATCGCTTGGTTCAAGAAAGCATTCATCTTTGACTGATTTTGCATCAGCCTCATAGTGCTCTGGCAAGTCAACAAACTTTAGGTCCTCAGGACTTTGTGAGGTCATATATTCATTTTTTTACTGGATTTCCAACCATCTCATGATGCTCTGGGTAGTTAAAGAACATCTGGTCTCCACGGTATTCCAAAGTTTCCCCAGTGCCTATCACAGCCTTTGTATCATCTTCAACAAAGTCCCCAGAATGCTCAATGTAGTGGCTCGTCTCCCCATAATAGAAGTTCGATGGAGGAGGTGCACTTTCAGATGGAATTCCTGTGTCAAGATTCTGGGAAAGAAAGATTTTATAAATAAAAAGTATTTATAACTGTACAATATCAAAGCATGACCTAGTAGATCATGTGAAATACTACAAAGGTGAATCAAAGACTAAACTGACAGAAAATGGAGGCCCCTGCCATATAATATATTTATATACCTAATCAATCTATATGCTACTATTTATGAAAACCCTATTGTCAACCAAAGATGGTGAACGTCAATTAAACCCTCTTTAAATTAAATAGTTGAGTAATATGTGCATAAAATATAGTAATTTAATATAAAAAATTAGATCATATGCAAAGAATGTGTAAAATAGAACGAATAAGATCAAGATGATGGAGATGCCCATGAACAGATGGAAAAAGGTAGCAGAAGTTTTCATTTCTACTTTGCCGTCGTATAAAGGTTCAGATGTAAAGATTAATCATCTTGATATTTTCTATCATGAGTAATGCATTATTCTAGATCACAAAGATCTTTTCAATCTCTCAACTACAGCATCAACTCAGTTCCTTTAGTTCGAAGTGTTGTACTTTTATGCGCAAACGGAAGCGAATTATAACAAAAGTACCAAATATCAATGTCGTAGGCGAAAGCTAAAACAAACAATCTCAAACTGACACAAGAGATTTACGTGGTTCGGCGTAAAGCCTACTCCACGGGCGAAGCACGGCGAGGAATTTCACTAAACAAACGGAAATTACAAAAGAGTGTTTAAACTCTCACAACCCAAATCCCACAAATTACAAACCCTAAACCAAATGAGTAGAGAACTCAAACCTAACGGAGAAGATTCTCCCAAATTGCTCTCTAACTTACAAACTCACAAATTGACTCTCACCAAATTGCCACACGAATGAGCCACACTAAATACACTAACCCTAAGGTCCTATTTATAGTGCATAGGACTTAGGTTACAATAGGAATCCTAATAGGAAATAAATCCAAATCCTAATCAAATAGGTAATTAACAAAATCTCTTCACCAAGGAAACTAACTAAGGCCTCGTTTGGCAGCTCGGACTGTACTGACTATTTCTGTCGGATAGGATAAATAGCCACCGGATAGTACTGACTAAATTAGTCGGGCGTTTGGTGCAGTATCGGATTAATGACCGTATTATTTATACTGTGTTTGGTATTGAACCGGATAGGACAAGAGAAAAAAAATTAACAAATCTTTCTTAGCTTTTAGACTCTAATATAATGCTTTATTGATTCGTATAAAGATACAAGCAACTTTGGTACTAATTTTGAGTTAAGTTTCCTGCCTTGTGTTTTGTTAATTTGATATTATTTTTTTTTCCATTCTAATTTGGCCTCTGTGGTTGTCACGTATATATTCACACATATCTATATCCAGATAAAAATTCCAATCAACAATTCAACAACCCTAGTCCGAAATTCAACAATTCAATGCCAATCAACAATTCAACAACCCTAGTCCGAAATTATTCACACATATATATATCCAGATAAAAAGTCAAATTCACATAAAAATTAAAAAAATGGATAGAGTGATGTAAAACACAAATTTACATAATCAATTGCATAATTAGAGAGAAAATAATAAATAGATTCAATCAATTGCAAGAAAAATAGGAGGGGGAAGAATAGAGGGAGGGGCGGAATCCCAGAAGAAGAAAATTGAAAAGACGAAAATGTGATTCAAACGAAGAAGAAGACTGTGAGAAGACATACCTGGGATGAGAGCAAGATGGCGTCTGGAGAGGAAGAGAATGAAACGCTGCGTTAAGAGGTTGCGGTGGTGGTGGTGGGGGAATCGAAATTTTGGGGAAAGAATGGGGAAGTTGAGGGAAATAGGATGATGGTCTTTCAAAAAAGGGAACTGTGGGATTTTGCTAAATTTTTGGTTCGAAGATTTTTGTCAGATCTGGTGGAAAATGGAAAAATGAAAAGAAATGGAAGGAGGGTAAAACGGAAGATTGCATCGGGAGAGAAAGCGAAAGATTGCGTCGGGAGACAAGAGAGCCCGACTAATTATACCGTGAAAATGGATGGTATAAGCAAGCGGGTACACACCGTGTAAAAAAGGTGGGCCCGGATTATTTAATCCGGTGCTTATTTAATCCGAACTGTCACCAAACACCGTACACCGTATTATTAATACTATCCGATCCGTTATACGGTGTGCCAAACAGGGCCTAAGAAGTCAAAACCAAACCCAAATAGGACACCAAAACCAAATAGGTAACACAAACCTAATTTATTGCATCATCCTAATTTTGAGCCAAAAACCCAACACGAAGATGCTTTTCATGGCACCGGCCAGGACCAAGAATACTTTGAAATTCATTACGTTATTCTACGATGTCGTCCAAATTTCAATTTGTCCCTGTTGAGGATAAGATCTATGAACTAGTTAAGAGTATCACGTGACAATAACAGACAAAAATTACAGCGTGCATTGAACTTAGAATAAGGGGACATCTAATAGGTTAGAGGAGATATCATCAATAATTAACAAATCTCCAGGTCAGATTGCAACAATACGGGGTTGAGGTAGAGTGATGGAGCATCAGGGAGAGAGGGAGAGTGAGGGATGGGGAGACAACAGGCAAATACCCAAAAAAATGTCCCTCTAAAACACACCATTTGGAACTCTTTGTCAACGAAGATCATCCAGATCCATTTTAAAAGGACACCAAGATTCTACCAACTTTTAGAAAATTGTAGTCCATAAAAAATTATAAACACATCAAGGTATGGTGATTATTCAAGTAATATCAATGCAACATTAACTTGTAATACTGCATTTAAAGTTCCTTTGATGGAATGTTCTGCTGTGAGTGAACATTACCTGTTTCAGTATTCTAGGTTAGACTGTTACACACATTGATGATGCTCTTTGAATGACTATATAAAATGCAATACATGATTTCACAACTACATAAGCCAAGTTCCACAGAGGAAAACTTTTTGTGACAGAAAAGGCAGGGTATTGCATTCCAGATAAATTTAAGAATGCAACTAAAATTTAAACAAAGTATGTAAGGCTGACAGCTACTGCAGATGGATAAACTCTAACCAAGTTTCAACCTTAATAAAGTTGAAAAAAAAAAAAGATGACCAAAATTCTGATAAGAAAAAGAAGTTGGGAGTGCTAATGACGTAGTTGCTCTGAAGCTTATCCAGAACAAAAGAAGAGCAGCATCATAATCAACCATAAGAAAAAACCTATTTGAGTAACTATAAGCCAGCCTTATTAGGACAACAACCTTGGGCGAAGTGTCAGCAGAATTGCATTCTCTCTCTCTCTCCTCTCATGCTTTGTGGATTTTATCATAGTATGATTGATGGTTTTCCACAGGTAACTTCTGGCATTTAAATATGGAGCTCCAAGCGGTGGATCTTTCATTACCGGGGGAATGCATAGCAGGGAGCTGCCCAAGTTTTTTCGCAAATACTTTGGATAGACATGGAAGCAATGGTCAGATAATGTGCACAATAATGCCTTGTCTGGAAGTTCTGAATCTTTGAACATTTTGTTGGAGCTTGGTGGAGATTTCGACAGTCATGGAATGAACCTGCAATATGGTCCCTTTTTCCGGGATCTGCTGCATTACCTCCTTTATTTCCCAGTCTTCCCTTGTCACCTCAGTTATGGAAAAAAACCCATGGGGAGGTACGTCTGAAGCCCTTCAGTTCCATCAGAATACAATTCTCAACTAACATACATGTGTTGACTGGGGAGCACATGCGTACCATGCAAATGATCCCACTTTCTCCGTTGCTGCTTTCAGAGGAGAGAAAAGGAAACCCCGAGGGACCGGAACGTACATCCCAAATCCGGTAGTGACAATTTTGTTTTCTATATAATCATTTTTTCAGACTGCATTCCTGTAATTTTATATTCATGAGCTTTATATTTTTGGGTTTATTTTTCTATGAAGTCATTCTCAGCAGAGGACTAGTCCTGGTTTTCATAATCTCATGGTCATCTTATTACAGTCTTTTCAGAATTACCGTTCCTTAAAGGATAGGTTGCCTGGAAGGGGAAGGAAACAGACACCAGGAATTTGTTTTCCATTTCAGAGACACGCCTTTGATTATGGCTTCACTGTAGCTCCTCAAGAGTCAGTCTCACCTAGAGAATGAAGCCGAGAGCTCTCAGAAGCGGAGTACCCAGTTTTTAAGTCATGGAAACTCCAACATTAGATTACCATTAACCTCACATTCCTTTTTGGGAATCTTTTCATGACAACAGTTTCTCCAACTTGCAAGCGAAACTCAACTCTAGATCCTCATCCCTTCAGTTAAGGAGGAGGCACCCATGCCAGAATTGAATCATCAAGCAAAGTTGTTTGGAGCCGATGAGGAGAGGTAGTTGGATTTGGTAATTTGAAGTAGTCCTCCTGCACAATAGCTTTTCTTCAAAAGCTAAAGTTCTCTTGTTGATGTCCACCACTCACCCCTCAAGTGCCGTTGAAGGAAGGATTATGCATTGGAGAATGAAGACGCTTATGACGGTAGGTGCTAATACACTAGACTGAGCTTCCGGCAAGACTTGTTCCTCTCAGCCTCGATAACCTTGGGGACCTCTGTTGTTGGTAGTTTCGATGTAGAATACATATGTTGTACATGCTGATTCCTTTTCTTTTTCGTTTCATATCTATGCGCACATTTGTGCGCTTTCATTGGGTTGGGTGGCTGATGTATATACGGGGCAAAGTTTGCCCCTCGGCTTGTCATTCCCCTCCCAAAGTTTCTAGTTCTAAACACACTACTGAGAAACCTTTGTCAGGTATTTCGGCTAGAACTGGTTAGCATACACATGATGAGATATATAAATGTAACCAGGAAAATTTTGGTTATGTTTAGGTTTTTTTTCGGTCAGAATGTTACTATGAATTGATGAAAGTTTATTTTGGTCAAGTTCATTTGTTTTAAGTGAAGTCGTGATAGTTGCAGGTCTGAGTTTAATCAAGTTTCCTAGAAAAATGTGTTTTATCTTCTCAGTAATCGAGTTTGAACACTCTCCGAAATTTAGGTTTTATATTAACTTAGAATATTTGTACTAAAAAAATGAATCAGCTACAAGGGTTACCATCTAGGAACCCTGTGATTGACACAAGATGAATAAAATTGTAGCATGTAAGGGCTCGTTTGGTGCCTCGATTCAATTGGATAATAAGGTTGAGGTGAATGATTTTTCATTTCTGAGGAGGATTTGAAATGGTTAGACATGAAGGAGACTCTTCAAATCCTACCGATTGTTTGATTGTTTGCTCCTAAAATCCTACGTTTTTGTGAGAATTTATTAAGTAATTCTTCTACCCTCATGTTGGACAAAGTCATTCATTTCTTCCTTCAGCACGTCTTGAGATATCCAATCCAATCTAATCCCACCAAATCAGCCCTAAAATGATAAATCCACCAACTATATCCCTTGAGGGGTACCTGATCCAGTTTGTAGCTGAGGGATAAGTATGAACATGCAAACCGAATCCATCATAGGGCACCAGTGGTCTAGTGGTAGAATAGTACCCTGCCACGGTACAGACCCGGGTTCGATTCCCGGCTGGTGCATACCTTTTTTCCTTTTTTTTTTCTTTTTCAGAAAAGAGATTTACCTGTGACCTTTATTTTATTTTATTATTATTTTTTTCAAAAAAGAACCTAATGAAAAGGATAGTTTTGTCCACTCCAGAATCCATATTTCCAACCACACGGTCTCCCGCCAACCTGACGACGTGGCAATCGACTTTTGGGAAGAAACCAATTAAGTAGGAAGAAGAGGGAATAGGATCATTTCTTGAGATTTGGATGATCAATCAATCATTTCTGTTTATAGTATATATATGCGGTTAAAATTTATTTAAAATTTAAAATTTAAAATTAAATATAAATAGTATCTAACGAAAATTGGTTGCACAATGTATGATGAACGGATACAATTAAGTTGTTTTGTCCCTCACATTATTTATTCTTAATTTAATTATTAATTATTATAAAAAGACTATATGTTTAAACTTGAACCGTATATTATTATTATTATATTCTTTATCAAATTGGCTGAATTCATTTGATCTGTCCATTTCATGCTTCCTCCTTCCTTCAACATCACAATATGCCTTTCAACGGCCTCTGCGGATATCATCCACCACTAACAAAATGTGGGCGGCTTAACACCCCACATTTACAAATTACAATTCAATAAGATAAACAAATCACATTTCTGAATTGTGTGCGTACGCGCAGATTAATTAACTCACGAGGAGGTCATAGTACGAGAGAGGTAGATGAACTCTATCAAGAATTTGTTCGTATTGATCTCGTATTAGTTATCACGTATGATAAATAATGAATTTCTTTGTCAAGTTTATTTACCTATTGTAAACATGATCGTTATGCAGGTTGGTATATGTATGTGTGTGTGTGTGTATTCCTGTGTAAGTGTAAAACTCGTACGAAAATCTATGCAGGCGACATTGACACCCCCAAGTCTTCCTACAGTATTAGAGCCACAGTTTGTCGTAGCAAATTACTCAATCAACAGATAAACACCAAGGAAAGGATTATCTCTGGATCTCTTCCTTCTAATCCACCAAATCAGGGGATCTGTGTTGCTCAAAATCTGATCCAACGGCTACAAACAAGGACCCACTTTAAAAATTATAATAACTTCAACCGTTTGATCAAATTTAAACTGCACGGATCCTCTGGTTTGGTGGATTAGGAGGAAGGAATCCAGAGATGATCACTTTCCAAACACCAATGGCAGGCATAAAACTTGTCTTATTGTACCTGTTCATCTTCATCCTAATTTTTGTTGGGGATGTGCTAT